GTACTCCCCTCTTTAGTGTATCATTTGTTTCACGTCACTTATAGTGTTGCTCTTTAGTCTCTTTTTTTCTTCAGTTTGTCTTGTGCTTTTCTAGTCTATATATATACATATATATATATATATTATTACAACATGGCATATATAGTATATAATGTACAATGTATGATGATACATAACTATTTTCTTCTATGGATATTGTGAATGACTGATGCGAATATTATTTTTCAAAGAGCCGGCAGCTTTGTTCACTCTTTAATTTTTTGAAAAATTAGAAAAAAATGTAACAAGTAAATAAAGAAATAGAAAAGAATTATACAGATTAAAAGGGTTTAAAAATGTACTGGGTATATAGATAATTATAATGGACATTTAGATAGAGATGGACGAAACTGTCGGCTGACTGGCTACGTTGACACCCAGCTATTTAAAAACAATTAAAGTGGATATTATATATTAAAGAAACAAAATATGATGTGTAAGCCAAGTGCCTTGTGTTCTGGTAACTAAACGTTGACTTTTAACTACAATATTTAAACTAAAAAATGGCGAGAGAATGAAAAAGAGTAAGATAACGTAGTGCGTGTGCGTGAGAGAGATTTTGAAAAAAGACACTAGCTACAGAAAATAAAAACGTTAGTGCAAAGAGATATAGAGAGTATTAGATGCTTTTTTGGAACAAAAAGACAGACCAGATCAATTTTTAAAATAAACAAATAAATGAAATGGCTTCTATGTAAGGAAATTAAGTAAATATAAATAAATGGATAATATTTGCATAGATAGTGTATAACTTTTAAAATGTAGAATCACTGTGTAACTGGAAATTTTAAAGATAAATAAGACGATTCGCGAGCGTGATTGAATCTTTAAAAATATAACAATGGTGTTTAGGCTCTAATTGAGTAAATATTTTTCTTAAAAAAAAAAAAATGAAAAGAAAAAATCTGTAATAGTTAAATTTTTTAAGCTCCTGACAATGATGAGACATCATTTCTATACGTATATGTAATAATGTAATTTGAACAAAGACGTAATAATGTTCAGCGAAACAATAAAAATAATAATAAAATGGTGTATTTTCAAAACGTGGTTGCTCGCACCTGCTGCTGTAAGAACAAAAATTTGGATATTGTAATAGTCAATGTTTATTTTGCGGAAAAATTGATTGTTTCTATACAATGTCGAACAATAACATATTTTGCTAATAAGAAAAAAAAACTAAAATAACAAAACACTTCATGTTATTTCACTCATTAACTGACACACAATCTCAATAGACACTTGAAGCTACTTATTATATGTTAGGAAAGTCCATTTGTCAAAAACTAAGTACTAAAAATAGATTTAAATGAAGCAAATAATATACCTAAACATGGGCGAGGGTGTATACATATTTAAGTATGTGGTGCCAAATATTAAAATATTAAAAATCGTTCAAATCGCGACATAGACCATTTGCACTTTATATCTATACTATTTCACTGCCTATTGAGCACAAAAATTATGGAATAATCAGTTAGTTGCTAAAAACTTTGTTATTTTGACACTGCTGTAACAACTCAAAAATTTACAGAATACATATACAATTTTGATATGGCTCTGTGTTGTTCTATTAGTTTTTTTTTTCATTCACACTAACTACGAAAACAAAGCATTTTTAAGGGATTTGATATTTGTTTATGTTAAACTCAGCAATTTCCATGTTAATTTCACATAATCAATGAACATTAAGTACCATGTACTTAATGTCTATCGCACTTTAACGCAGGAAAAATAAAAACACTTTGACACAAGAAAGATGTTCCCCTATAATTTATAGCAAACCCCCAAATGGGTCTTTTTCATACATGTACTTGCATAAATATTACTCTTTTCGACGTGAAACTAAAAAATTCAACTATTTTTCATTCAACGTTCAACAAGCATAAATATTTGAATGCTCATGAAAAAAAAAAAAAAAAAAAAAAAAAAAAATAATGGATGAAAAAGACCCTGATCAGACAATCCTCTAGATTTAATAGTTATAAAAAATTATACTTGATGTGCAGTCGAATGCTGGTATGCTTGGCCATGGATTTGCCCTGAACATCTAATCAATTGAAAAGAAAGTCAACATTTGAAACAAACCCATGACCATAGATTTACGTATGAAATTATTCTCCAACTCGAACTACGAGCAAAAAAATGACAAAGTATTCATTAACTGTACACGCATTGTTATACCTATACAAGATAGAAAATAAGAGCGAGTTGATTTTGGTATCGAATAATACTAATCGTCTTTCTGGTGGTTATGTATATTTTCTAGCCGAAATTACCCATGTCTGCTCTGACTTGTAGCTCGAAAGAAATTATCACTATAAGCTCTCTAATTGATTGTGTATGTACGAATTACTTACTTCACTCTTGGTGAACTTTTACGTCTCTCTCATGACTCTCTCTGTGCCAACAGACAAGAATAAGATAATGCAAAAGCTGCTGTAGAAGTTTTCCTTTACCGTCGAGTCTTGTATTATACAGAGCAGCACGCAAATTATTTCGCGATGCTTTTGTATGATGACAAATATTGTTAAACGTAATGTAATAGGGGAAAAAGTGTAATGTACGTGAGAATGATGTCGCATATATGTGTATAAAAAAAAGTCAAAGTGAATGTAAAAAAAAAAAAAAAAAAAAAAAACAATGGACAATGCGCGAGAATTGATACATAAAAGGTGTACGGTTGTAGGGCATAATATTATGCCCGAAAATCGAGAAGTGATATTGTTGCTTTTTCGCATATTTTTTCAAAGCTATGAAAGAAATACACGAAAGTCGCGATGGTATTATGTACATCAATATAATTGGTTTTGTTTCTAGGTTTTCGTTATTCATAAGATTAGTAAGTATACGTGTAAAATATACTTTTAAACGGTACTGCGCCTTCATTTTTAGGGCAATTGGATATACATATACATATGTAATAACTGTACATTTAAATGTGCGCGATGAATTGCTCGACTTGCGAAAGAAAAAAAAATTAAAAAAAAAAACTAACTAATAAAATCGGTTCATTGTTACCAAAACAGTAAATTTGTTCTTGGCGTGTGTGCCTCAGCGTGAATGTGTATAGTACGGATAAACTAGTAGAAACTATCAACGAGATATTATATATATGTATATGTGTGTGCACTGGATGATTAACTTTTCTCAAAGAGAAATCTTGTTTATGTAAAAATTTTTAAATGGAACAAAAATATTATATTAATATATGAAAGTGAGAACGAGAGAGAGAGAGAGAGCAAGAGAAAAAGCACGAGAGTCATCCGTCGGTCACTTGCGTCGCACCTTTGAATTGCATTGTATAATCAGCGTGTAACATAATAATTTTTCGATTGAGTTTTAACGAAAGAGCTCAACACAACACATACAACTACTGTAAATTGTCAGGATCGAAAATAAAATTTGTAAGTGAAAAATTGACTCGATCCACTGTGTGTATGTTTGTCATGAACAAAAAAAAATATATATATATATCATACGGAAGGTACGAGCACATCCGTAACTTCGCATTTCCTTCTTATGTAAGCTATCAGCGAATGGAACAGTCATTTTAAAGTTTTGAAAAATTCCGAACGCAAGTATCTGTGTATCATCGATTTCTGAGTTCTGTAGTTTTGTATATTGAATAAATAAAAATAAGTGATAGAAAAAATAAAAGATAGCGATTTTTCAAAATTTTAAGATGATTGTGGATACACGAAACTCGTCTATCAACTCGCATTCATTCAAAAGTAAAATTAAAAAGTATATATAATTATCTCCGTTTTATACGCTTACAAATAAAGTCTGTGCCAATTTCACCGAGTGACTAATCAGATTCCTAGTCTCAATAAAATAAACATTGTTAAAACAGCATTCATTACTTTTTTTTTAATTCACTTTTGAACATTATTTTATTTCCAAACACTTGAAGGTCACGTATTTATCTCAATATTAGTGAAAGTAACGAGCCACTTTCATTTAAAAATCTTACTACACAAGTACACGTTCAAGCTTTTCTTTATGCGTACTGCAATACCAAGTTATCATTATTATCAAGCATAAAAATAGACTTTTTTCTGGTACTTACTCTATATTTTGTCCTTTTTTTACATGCTTATGAAATAATTTGTTACGACTTGATTAATAGGATTTTATTTATTTTTAACATATACAGCACTCAATTATTCCCACAATATAATGAGTTTAGAAGCGTATCATATTAAAAAAAAAAAAAAAAAAAGTTGAACGGTGAATCTAATTACAGAGTTTCAAGTCAAGTCGAACACAAAATGAGAGGTAAAGAAAGTTGGCTTGGAAACGAATGTCGTTAGACGATCAAAGAAAAGAGTTCGCCCTTTTCTCTCAAGAAATACTTGGTGAGTAAGTACGTGGGTATCCTGCTGCTGCTTTGCACAGTACTTTTAATTAAAAGTTTCCATTCTCTCATCCTTTTTTCTTCAGAACATTTTACGTCATAAAAACAAGGTATTTTTGATGTTTATACTTGCCACAATGTCTTAGAATATTAATTTTTTAACAAAGTGTGCTATAATTATTTGGCTCTATAAAAAAAATTAAACAACACTAATAAGCTGTACTTCATTGAGTTTTCAATTTTTTGAAAAATGTAAATTTTTAAATCATCAATTTTTTAAGTTTTAAAAACTTTTATTTTCATATAAACAATGTGTAACCAAATAATAATTTCATTCGTGGTGAAACTTTTCGCTCCTGCGAAGTAAATAGGGCTATAAAAACCTAAAAATTTATAATTTAACTAAGGATTATCTAAAATAATTTACTCGATAAAATTTAACAATAAAATCAAATCTCATAATGTCGAAATCAAAATTTTCAATGAATTTTTGTTTTCGCTTCTAAATGCGTTTGAATTTGAACCGACTGTTGGCGCCCTGGCGCGACCACTAGCGCCAATACGCCATTCCGGCCATTTTTTGAACCTCCGTAGCAACAGTCTTCTCTTTTGGCTAAAATTTATTGAATTCTTGTTTTTTTTAACATCATGTAAATTTATCGTTAGAAATACATTTTCAAAAAGGAAATCAAAATTTTTTCGTAAACAAGTCAATCATTATAAAAAAATACCTTGGTCATATCGCTGAATTAATTTCTTGGGATTCAACAGCTTGAAGGTTAGTTTTTTAAAATTATCCTTGCTCGTTTACCAATGCGACTCCCATGACGTTCAATGTTTGGTATGTTTATTTAATGATTTATTTTTTCCAGTCGCTAAATAAACATACTCACATTTTCAAAGAAAGATGGACTCATCAAACAGTTCTACGGATGATGATTGCAATATATACATCAGTGCTGCCCAAAAGCTTAAGGGTAGGTACTTTCAAGTCACATTTTATCAAACTATCGACTGTACAGGTGTACTTAACATTATTGAAATGTTCAAAAATATAGAACTAAACAGCAAAGAAAAAAAGAAATCACGCATAGCTGTACATGAGGATGATGACGAAGAAGATGATGATGATGATGATGTGGTTTGTCAAGATTCAAGGTACATTTTTCATACTGAATAACGATTTGATATATTTTAAAACGTAACGATATGTCTATTCTAGTCCTGATGTTGTTTCCAAAGAAGAAGAAGCAATGGAAGATTCATCGAAGGACGAGACATCTACGGATGAACTAGAAGAAATGTCATCGGAAGAAAGTAATTTAGATAAGAGTCCAATAACTCTTTCGGACAATGACTCAAGTGACATTGAAAGGCTTGTTAGATCTGAAAGAAAACGAAAAGCTCCTCAAAATCCTGAACAGCAAAAGACTGTATGTATTTTTATCATCAATTCATATTTATGAAACATTATAAATTTTAATACCTTTGTAGATACCTGCAAATAATCGAAAAAACGTTGACGAAAGTATTGAAAATTTATTAGATGATAGCTATGATAATTCTTTCCAACTTTCACAAGAAGACGATGACTATGTCGTGATAGGGTCTCCACCCCCTGCAAAAAAATTGGATGATGACTATGAAGTTGGCGTCAAGGTTTTATGGAAATCTAATAAAATGGAACGTTTTCAAATCAGAAGAGTAAGTCAGACACTTGATAAACCTTTTATTCTAGTGAATTGTATAAGTTTAATTGTAAATTTGCTTTTAGCACGAGACATTTCAAAAGATATTCATGCATTTTGCTAAGTTGGAAGGAGTACCAGAGGATCAAATTCGCATTACCAAAAAAGGCAAACGAATTACTGCTTTGGACACGCCTATAACTGTTGATTGGTCAATTGTGGATATATTTGGTAAAATAATATTTATTTAATCTCAACGGCCATATAATTGAAATGTTTACGAAATTTTTACTTCATTCTACGTAGATGGTGGTGTTGTGAGTGCGGAAGTCGCCAAAAAAAAGCATGGCTCCGCACAGGATGCAGAATCAGAGAACTCTTGTCAAATAAAAATTCAGTCGTTAGAAAAAGGAACTTTAAATTTTACTTTGAAAAAGACTGACACATTTGAGGTTCTATTAAAATATTGTTCCGAAAAGTTAGGTGTTCCTGAATCAAAAATAAAATTCTACTTTGATGGAGAACTTGTTGATATCGAGGAAACTCCTGATACTCTTGATCTTGATGACGAAAACTGTTTTGATATGAAAATTTCCCAGTAATAGTGTTATCAGCTTTATGTTGATACATTATTGCAACTGGAAGTGAAGAAATTGTCTTGTGTATGTAATATTCATGGCTAGATAGCATGCTGGAATAAAAAAACTGTAAATAGCTGCGAGCAATAACAACAAAAAATCAAAAATTTGTAGGTGTTACTAAAAAACTTTTTGTATTTTTTATATCATGTAAATACATTTATTTTCATAACTTATTAAACATTTTACTACTTACGAGTATTTTTTTCTGTTTTGTTTGAAATGATTAAAACACAGGAATGAAAATAATACAACATGTGTAGAATTATATTATTTTTATTTTATCAATACGTTAGTGTTTTACTTACATGCATCGCGCATTCACGAGCAACCATAAAGTAATATTACATGAGCATTTATATTTGGTAACAAGAAAGAGTTTGATTCATTTTTTTTTTTTTTAATTTTACTTTAATTTTTTTTAAATTTTTTTATTCTATGAAAAGTTTCCCTGTGTTTTTTTGATACTGCAAATAATCATCTCACGTGACAATGAATTTGCGTTTACAAAATAGTCACACTTTTCTTTTTGAAGTCAGCGATGACATTGTTTTGCATCATAATAACCAGATTAATTAGAACATTGTTTAATTACATAATTACTTTACAACAAAGAAGAAGATAAGATTTCGCCTTCTTGGTGTCCAAGAAATTTTCTCTTTATTGAGAAACATTAAATTACTGTCACTAATTTTTTTTATAGATTATTCAAAGTCAAACATACCTCGTCGTGTCTTCTCATATTTTTATCACATGTATCGTGTATGAACTATTTTGTATGAATCGGAAAAATGTGTAAATTTTCAAAGAGATTAATATATACGTTGAATCATTTTACAAATGCGATTTGTCTAAATTTAAGGAAAAATTCATATTTGTGCATTCAGAGTAAAAATATACTAAAATTCGTTGTTTCAGAGATTTAAAAGAAATACTCTTTGAAAGACAGTAAGCAGAGTATAATCAAATAAGTTTCAACTGTGTGCATTGATATTTCAAACTGTCTCAGTCACTTGTGGTTTTTCTCTTTATATTAAGCAATTTTACAGGCTTTCATGTTAAACTAAAAGTAAAGGATCATGCATTAATTTTTACATCCCACCAAAAACTTTCAACCTCGAAAAAAATACATTATGCGAAATGAATCTTATTCTATGTAGGCTATTTGATGGTATACACACATGGCATCGCATATTTATTTCAAGTAAAATATCAAATCATTTTAAGTATTCACATTACAAAATGTAAGTAAAGTTGGCCGTAACAAAAAAAATGTCCTTGCCTTTTAAATGTACATATTATAATTTTCAATTTAAAGGTAATATAATGGCACTACAAGTCGTAAAAATTGCAACTAAGCCTTACGTTTATATATTTTCTTTTATGTGTATTATGTATATCAGAGTACAATACGGGACAACGACCGTCCATTTCGAAATACATTCTAATAACCTCGTATACGTCCCTCGTCGTCGCCATCAGTGTTCTCTTGGATTTTTGTTTCATCTTTTTTTTTTTTTTTTTTTACTTTCCTCGCGTCAGTCTTTGTAAAAATTATAAATACGTAATATTTCTGCAGTTAACGTCATTGATTGTGTGAGAACAGATTTCATGTTGTAATGAAAACCACTACAATCTTTTATTCATCATCATCTTTAAAACAATCGTATTTGCGGCAGACAGTGATTTTTTTTTTTCTTTTTTGTTTTATACACAGACGCTGCTTGCGTTCATATAGAATATAATAACAATGATCATAACATTTAAGGCGCCCGTTCTGAGGGGTCTTGTATTTATTAATCGACAGTGTATTTATCGAACGATCAAAAAAATCTCTCACAAATACGTTATCGTTCTCTAAAGAATTTTCTCTCGTGATAGCCTTCTTATTCATTTTTTCTCTTTACCATTCGACAAACGTTTTTTTAATTTTCTTCGTTTATTTTTTTTAATTTTTTTTTTTTTTCGGACGGATCTCAGGATTTTCAATAAATGCCACAATATTTTAAACACACGAATACTTATATATGCAATTTTAGCTCATTAAATCAAAATAAATCATTACATTCGAAGCTACGCTAATTAATTTGAAAAAAAAAATTACTTGTTTTTTCCAATTAACAGTAAAATCACGTGGTTACATCATGTGGACCATAAAATTGATAACATTTTTTCTCAATTAACGAACATTAAAATTCTTTTCATTCGATGAAACAAACTTCATGATTACACTTAAAGATTTATTTTTACACATATCCTAATCTATAAATATCTAGGTTTTGTACTAATTTAAAAGAAAAATAATTTTGCTTTTCTCAATAATAAATAGCATTTTTTTTTTTCAAATCGATAAATCGTAAACATCATCAATATAATTTTGAAAAATACACTAATCGCCAACATAAATCCATATATCTATATTATTCCACTCAAATCTCTTCTACATCGAGAAACCACGTGATTTTGTACCAGCCCCAATTCGAACTCTCGTAAAGCTATACACAAATCTACACGTAAAACTACACAGTGCCGCCGTTTTACCACGAAATCCCCCGCTCTCGGCTTGAAAATTCTCGTTGAAAAAATCGGGACAGCTCTACCAACCCGCGCAAAAAAAAAAAAAAGAAACCCGCTTCCACGAACGAACGGAAAACGTAACGCGAACCATCCCCGTACGCATCGTATAAAAAAATAAAGATTATAAACCGTGTATGTATAGATATATTCATTTATTTATTTATACAATGTACATAATTAAACTACTCGCTATGAATTCGCTCTCGAACGGCGTCGACAAATAAAACTCGTTTGTACAATTGTCGCGCTCGTCCACAGACACACACACGAACGCTCTAACGACACGTTTCACTTTTTCCCTCACTTAAACGAACCCTGGCTCTCTCACCGTCACACCTGTAATCATCATTATCATAATTATAATTATTATTGTTGTAATATTAGGTACAATCTACCTTGACCGCATATACATATATAATATATCTTATTAAACATCGCTACGATCTAGAACCATTGTGGACGTCGCATTTGTCGGCGCATGTTATACATTTGTTCATGTATATTGATTAATAATATAATGCTCTTTGTCTCCGTGTTATAATATATTTTTTACAATACACGCGGGCAGTACGATGTTTCATCCATAAGAGAGTGATGAGGATGGGAGGGTGGGTTTTGGGGTCGAAGAAAACGAAGAGATTGCGCTTAGAGAAGAGTGTTCATGGTTTCGGCGACAATGACGCTCTTGGCGTCCTCGCAGAGTCATGTGGTCGTGCCCGTGTTGCTGCCAGCCGACGCCTCGGCGCGCCACGAGTTGGCCGCCTCGGTGATCGTGGTGATCTGCGACAGAAAAAAATAAAATAATAATAAAATAAAAAAAAAAATCTCGGAGCTGATGTAAGGGTCGGTGTTGGGTAGGGCTCGCACCTTGGGCTCGCAGCCGATGAGAGGCGTCTCGACTGTCGACTCGTCGGCCGAGCGACCGCCGTTGGTGCTCATGTACTGGTGGGGCGGTGGTATGTAGATCGGTTTGCCGCCTACCTGGGCGTAGAGGCTCGAGTCGGTGGCCATCGATGAGCTCGGCATCCGGCGAGGTAACGTCGACATCGGCAGCAATTGGGGCCGTTGCACGCTCGACATGGGCACCGGCTGGTAACAGTTCGGCGGCACGCGTCGGTTCATCCTCAGCGTCAGGTCGTACGGCATCTTCGACGCCTGACGAGATATCGTCTCGTACAGCTCGAGGCAGCCCCCTCGCTAGTTCGTCATTTATATTTTAAAATCATACGATTGTTATATATATATTTTTTTTAATATAAACTAATAAGGTCACAACAATGCAATTGTGTTGGAGCGAGTTAAGTCTTTGTATGGGGAAATCGGTATGTGATGCTTACGTTGTTCATCGAGCCGAGCGAGCCGGGCTCTAATCGGCAGGAGGGTTGCTGTGGCGGCTGCGTGTTGTAACACGGCGACGTTCCCTTGCACAGTTCGGCGTATGAATTGTCTACAATCAGAGGCACAGGGTATCCAATCAGCAAACCTTTTTCTCCCTCGATTGGGAATTTGACGCGCTTTTTCGACTTTTTTTTTTTGTTTCGCATTTTTTTTTTTTTTTTGTTTGCTCTTGTTTTCGAGTAGCTGACGCGATCAAAGATCGATCGAGCTTGGAAAGTGTAGAACGAGTCTCTATTGTTCGTTCAAGTACAATTTCAAAACTTTTGTGCTTAAATTTGAGAAATTGTACAAGTTTTAGGTAATTTTACATCCAAAGTACTGTATTGTAAGGTATATCACACACGTGCAATTAAAACACGAATTTTCATACTTGCACGAAAAATGTTTAACCGTACATTTCCTTCCTCTTATCCTTGACTGTGTACATAGAATGGAAAACGTCAACTCGGAATCAATCTGGTGCCCAAACATCGGCCAAATCTCTTTTAAACGGATCGATCAAGAGCAAACTTTGACGCGTATATATATATAGGAGCTACATTTCCAAGCGCAAACTTATGAAACCCTCTCAAAGTACACAAAGAGGCAAGAGCTATGCGATTTCATACCCTTCCTCTATTTTTTTTTTTTTTTTTTTTTTTATCAACTGTGAAGGAAAGAAGAAAAAAAAACCCCAGAGTGTTCAAATAATACCAACCTGTCGCGTGTGGTATGATGTCCGGGTCCTTCTCGAAGCTCTCGACGCTGTCGGTTTTGTCGTGCGGCGCCGTCAGCGTGGCCATACCCCCGTCGTCGTGCTGCGAGTCCTTGTCGTCCTGGGGCCTGCGCCGACTGGTCTTGCGCAGCTTCAACGCCAGGATTATCAGAAACACGACGAACACGAGACCAGCCGCTGCGCCCACCACCACCCCGACCAGCGAACTCGACAGAGACAGTATGACCGGCGACAGAGCTGAGGAAAATAATGCATAGTTTATAAATATATTGTAAACATCACGTATACATTGTCTCTCTGCCCCACTTACTTTTCCATATATAGCTATTTTATTGTTTTTAATCATACACACATCGACGTGCAAAATCCTAATCAAGAAACAGATGAAGAAACAAGGGAGTACTTTCTACGTATGTAATACATATTAAAGGTGCTGCAGTTGCTTACTCAATTCCTTCCGATCGAGTTAGCCGTGCACACAATGATAGTTGTACTTTTCGCGTGTGGTGTACTTTGCACTCGAGTCGGGAGGAAAGGAACATCCTCCGGGTGATTCGACCGAGATGAGATCGAGACGCGATCGCGTCGTCTTTGATTGGATTTGTTTTTCAATTGTCGACTCAGTCCCCCGATCGCGTTTCTCTTCTCGATTGTTTTCGGACTCGGTTAGTCTTCGGAGATGATGAAACTTTCTTTGTTTTCCCGGAATAAATTTTTCAATCGACCGTATTTCAGTTGTCAAGTTGGTTTTTCTACAATAGGTAATTTGTACGTATATATTGTGCATCGCGAGAGCAAATGTAAATTCAAATCCGCTCCTGACTATGAAAAAAAAAAAAATATATATATATACGTATATATTTAGAGATTCAATTAATCTTCACCTGGACATTACCAGCGGACTATTTCGTGATAAATATCCAGCCATGAATTATTCCATCGGTTTTTCTTTGTCCCCGTAGCCCGGAGTTTCCAGTTCATTGCGAAAAAGCTCCCCATTGACGACTGCGCGACGTTTTCTATTTTTTCTTTTTTTTCTTCTTTCACTGTAGACCCGAGACGCTTTGCAACGCTCTTTCTCTCGCGATTGAACGAGTTCTTTTATTATCGAGTGTGTGTGCTCTCGTTTTTTTGCCCACCCCCCACCTCCCTCGTTTTCTACTTCCGTGAAAGGACAGAGTGATAGAGTCGGAGAGAAACCGATCGGCGTCGATGACTCGAACGTTGTATATTGTTGCAAATGGGGGGAAAGGAAAACAGAGGGAACGAGGGAGGAAGTACAGCGTAAAATTTTTTTTTTTTTTTTTTAATTTCCTTCTATCGACACGTACTGATGGATGACGGTTGAAAATCTACTCGAAAGCAATTAAAAACACGAGTGTACAAACTAAAATCCACATAACTATTTACAGGTACTACCTTACAATTTCCAAGCTTTGCCAAAAGCTGTATACATCGAGGCAAAATATACGACAACAGTGAACAGCAGAGGAAAGAAACGTGCAAAACATGCAACAACAACAAAAAGCATCAGCAACGACAACAGATGGAAAAGCCTGCATCTCTCGATGCGGCCATATAGTATAATAACATATTATACAACGCGTTGAAAAAGAAAAAAAGAAAAAAGCTTATCGTTAAATATCTACCCGAGCGGTAAAATATAAATCGCTATAAGCCGTAGCTTCGGTTTGCTCTTCTTCTTCTTCTCCCTGCGCTCGGAAATCGATGAATTATATGCGCGCGAACGCGGATGGTCTGGGAAAAGGCTTAATTATACCTACGCCGGTGGCGACAAAATTTTTAATTAACGCAGCGATTATACTGCACCGATAAATGCGCCCGTGAATTATTCTTTTGCGCCGCTGTTTTCACGCGCCAAAATATGTTGTTGGGGAGGACTTTTGTACGGATGATTTGTTACCTGTATGGATTTCTGGGCGTTTTTGTGTATTACTTCTTCAGGACGCGGACGGACGCGCGATGTAATCGCATTAGCGAAACAAACGGTGTTTTTGAAAATACACGCTCAAACTGACTTGTGACTTTTGGGCATTACACACGCGTGTTAATTAATGAAAAAAGAGGTGAGCACGGGGGGATTTAATTTCGGGTGCGTTGGTTGTTAAAAAAAAAAAAAAAAATGTTCCCGGCGTTACAAGTTCTCCCGCGGCGTAAATTACCGATTTTCGCGATCTGATCAGTTTCGAGTTGTTTTGTTGGGAAACGCAAACGTATAAGTGTTAATCTCGCTGGAATAATGAAACGATGTATGTTTGAGCTTTTTTTTTTTTTTTTTTTTTTTTTTTATTATTGCGTCGTGTTAACGATCTCATACACGGGCGTTATCGTGATCGCGTTGTACCTCGAAAATGATTAAATTACAGGAAATCGGTTTTGTATGCGAGGAAACTACAGGGTAAATGAACAATATACTACACGCATGCATGATTTACCGAACGAGCTTATTATAAACTGAGTGTAGGTACTATTTTTTTATTTTTATTCATTGGTCGATTCGTATAATTAACACAATAAGGAAATGATTAAACTTATAATTGATAATGTTCCAAATTTTCGAGTGAAATAATAACACGACGGACAAGTGTGCAAACACTAGGTTTTCCATAGGAGTAATCATACGTAGGCTCCGGGGTTAATGAAGAGGTCACCTCTTGCTCGATTCGCGTTTCCCTTGGACATTTAAATGAGTGCACATTATGCGCAGAAACGAGTAGTGTCCGTGGACTATACGTTGAAAAAATAAAAAATTTCCCCTTTTCCTTGTACGTTTTACTCGAGCACGAAAATTAATATTTACCCGAGGAGCAAGGGTCAGTTTTTACCTTCCTCGCGACTAGCCATTGCATAAGTATGGCTGCAAGTATAAAAGCCCGAGCAAACTGACAAATTACAAACGTGCTTTCCCGCCAAAAATCGTTACCCATCCCTGTACTTTTACAACGCAGCTTTCGAAAGCACCGAAAACTCGAAAAAAAAAAACAAAAAAAAAAACAGACGAAACAATGTCCAAGTAAATATAGCGCGGAGATCTATGAGTACAATGTTTACGCTTAAAAAACGAAAGAGACAAGTTCTCGTTTCCTTCTAGGGGGTATATATTATGTAAAAAATAGAAAAGGGACGAGAGAGAGAGAGAGTAATGTATCAACAAAAAACAACAAGAAACACGTGGGGGCCAAAGGGGGTACACGACGACAGGGGGAGGGATGTATATATAGTACAGCGTGCGAGGCACATGCATGGTCGCGAGGGCTCTCTACCTGGGAATATCTGGTGCTCGGGACTGGTGCCCTCCTGCAGCAGGTGTTGGCTGTAGAGGACAGTTGCGTCGCTCGTCGCGTGCGACGTCATGACCCTCAGCACGAGCTTGAGCCCGGCTCGACGTCGCTCGGCCGGTAAATCCGTCACCTCGAGCACGGCCGGGGTCGTGCTCGTGCCCGAGGCCAACAGGTGCCTCGTCTCCGCGTCGTACACCTGGAGCACGTAAGTTGCGCTCTTCGGGTCGACGTACTCGCTCTCGGCGCAACTCACCCGCACCGCCGTCAAGCTCTCCTCGGCTATCGTGCAGTTCTCGGGCGCCGGGGGCCGCGCCGGTCTCTCACCTGACATCGTCACAAAAGGGGGACCATTTTATTACTAATTCCCTAGTTTCCCTTCTTTTGATTTTTCTACGAGCTCGCTTTGACATTTTAATATACTAGGTACACCGCTCCGCTCGATTCGTATGTATAGCCTTTTCAGACCGGAAGTATACTCGAGTAACAGGAGTTACGCCGGAGCGTTGCTCATTAAGCTGCTTGTTATATATCGTTGTACAGGCAGCCTCGGGCTGATTGGGCTACTGTATCGCCGAGAAAGACTGAATCCAAAAACAACTAGCATCGGTTGATCCGGCATAACGATAATCGCCGTAGCGCAGTCCGACGCAGTTTTCAATTAAAGAAGGGCTCGTGGCCATTTTCGCCCGCGGCTCGTGTATATATGTACTTAACGCGCGAAACGTGAGAGGGAAAAAGAGAACGGGATAACGAGTCTCTTGCGCGGCGAGAATTTTTAATGAAAAAAATTCTTTATGCACTATAGAGCCCCGAGAAAGGGGTGGAGAGTACGTACGTATACGGCGGTGTTGAATTTTATGAATTGTTCTCCCACCGACCGTACGTATACATACGCATTAGCTCGAGCTGTGTGCTTTTCGCGTAAACTGCCTGTTATTTTTTATCCTTCCCTTTGTTTTGCTCCAAATGGTGAGAAATTGCTTATAGGATATCGGTAAAAAAAAAAAAAAAAAAAAAAAAGTACACTTTGCTCGCAAAAGTAAAATCAGCCGACAACAGTAGTCCCATTCTCTTGGTTCGGTGTATTTTATTCTCTTAATCCTCGCCGGTGTATATTTTGGCGAGGGTTTACTTCACCCCCCAAGGCAGTTTGTGGTTTGCATTTTTATTGGAGCTAGAAAATTAAGTCAATTGAAACCCGTAGCCGCTTGCCAACCGACTTTAGTTATACGGGCCTCGCGTTTCATGCAAATTAGGCGATTGAATGCGCAAGATTAGTGTCGGTAGCCCAATTTAGGGATGTATATATACCCTTGCCTCCGGCACGAAATATACAATGGCCGAATTAACGTAGCACCGAGATTTTTTAAGTAATCGGTGCATCTAGTTTAGGTCAAAATTCCATCATCGCAACTTTAAATGAAATAAACAATGTGTTTCTTACACGCGAGTAAAGAAATTTGTGAATTTGTAATTAAAAAAACATTACGTAAATTGAAATTGTGGGAAATATTTTTAGTAAGGACGATCAAATGTAGGTTTATTTCTCTAATTGCTTTTAAAATTCGCTCGTGCGGTAAAATTAAAATACTACTTATATCCTTACCGTGTAGTGCAAAACTTCGTTTTTCTCGTGAAATATGCTAATAAAAGTTATGCAAATTAAACGGTTCACGCTCAACCCTCGTGCAAGTTCAAATGTAGCATGACGAGATGAAATTTCGTGTTCCGCGCTTAAAAACTTATTACAACGATGCTAGGTACAATTAATAAAGTTAGCCAAGAAATTTCTCTTGATAAATACCGGAGCTCTTTGCCACACGCCAAAGGCCAGTGTGTGCGCATGGCGCCACGTATACGTATACATTATGCGCCCCGCTCAATTAGGGCCACTAGTTAAACCAACTTTCGAAGGTAAATTTTTTTTTTTTTTTTTT